CTACAGTAGGCCCCGCGGTGCCTAAGCTCGAAAACTCCAACGGGCCGAACTTTCGGACGCTGCGCGCAGGGGGCGACCTGGGCATCGTCACTACCCACCACAACATCGGACCCACTTACTACGGGCACTCTGGACACACTAGCAGGGTGGACCACGTAGCGACGCCCACAGGCTCTTGGGAAATGTAGAGCACTGCACGCCACTACACGGCGCAGTCAAGCGCCTTCAGAAGATCAGGACCTGAGGGCACCGTGACCACGTCCCGCTAGGCCCCACCATCTCCCCTCACCTCCCTCGCCACTCAGCCCCGACCGCGACCCGCCTGCAACGGGGATAGCGCAGGGACGGTCTTTTGGAGCGCGTCGGGAGGGGCCACGAGAGGGCGGAGCTGTTCGACACAACCGACGCAGAGATCAGAAAGATGGGGGGGGGCAGCGCGGGAGGGAGTGTTCGAGGAGAGCACGCCAGACAGCGCTCAGGACCTGCTTGCGGGGGGCGGCGCGACGAGCCATAAGTCAAACGTCCGGAACGCGCCCACAAGACGATGTCGACGAAATAGACAAAGCAGCACGTATACGCCGACTAGAACTACTGCGACGGCGACGTGCGACGCGAGAATGGTTGCGTGACTAATGTGACGACGCGGAATACGACTTGGAGCAAACCGAATTAAAAGAAGTTGCGACAGCGTTCAAAACAGCCAGGGAGATAACCGAACATAGTAGGCGTGTGAAGATAGCCGGGCTCATTTGGCTGGCCTGCGAGCGACGAAACTTTGCGGAGATGCACCAGCTACGTACCCAGTACCAGCGAAAAAGGGCGAGGCCCGAAGAAGCGGCACTACCTGACCCCAAAGTCGAGCTGGCCCAAGGCATACTGGGAACAGGAGTTAGCTCGACCAGCACTGGAGGGAGGCTTGGGCGCGGAACCGATAGACCGTGCCACGACGCGTACCCAGCATGCAGCGCACGGCGAGGACATTCTCTATCCTCTCCCATGCGCCCACGACCTCCGAGCGATGGTAGAGAGCGACAAAGCAGCCATGTTACGGCGCTGCAGAAAAGCGTGCAAGCGGCGGGCCTGGCCAGCATGGGGACTCCCAACCGAGGTGACCTGGCCCCTTCTCGATCCCACTCTCCACTTGGAAGATCCGACAGCGTCGAGCGAGGCGATGGAGAGGAGGAGGAGGAGAATGGAAGCAGCCGGGCAACGAGGAGACGAGGAGGACCTGGCACACTACACCACCTTGGGACGGTTTCGGAGGGGTCGTCAGCTGATGCAGAAGATGGCGGAAGGAGGGCGCGGCACTTGGCAGCTATAGGAGAGGTGGAGAGTGCGAAGCAGAGCGTCAACAACAGTTATGGGCAGCACGATCCTACGACGTGGGCAGGAGTGAGCATGCAGGGATAGTGCCGACGATGTCTGTGCACGAATGTGCATACCAGCCCATTATTGATCGATTCCTCGTTCAGGGCAGAATGGCGCAAGTAGCACCACGGGACCGGCACAGATCCCAGGCTTTCCCCGCGCGAAAAAATAACACTGAGGGGATCCTTGGCAAGCGCATATTGCACGTGTACGGCTCCTTCCGTATAGCGTGGCACTCTGGCATGCCAAGGCGAGGAGAACCACCGACGCCTCCATCTTGGGCGCTTGGGTGACTTTCACTCAGATGCAAAGAAAATGCCATCACATGTGTCTGCGCAGCGCAGTGGAGGGCCAACAAAGGGGGTGCCAGCACAGTCGCGATGCCGCGCGCGAGGGGTGGGCGCGCGAGTGCCGGGCGATGCGCCCGAAGCCGCATACATTGGACAGTTAGGCTTCGCGCGTTGCTCGGCTCGGCTCGTTGCGGCGTTTCCCAGCAGGGTCGCGATGTAACGTCGCGTTCGCGCGCTGCTGCTGGCAGGCCGCGCCCAATACTTTGAGTCGTGGACCGTGCGCGCCCAGGCGCGCATCGGCCATGAAAAAGAAACGTTTTGGCGAAGGACCCAACCATATGCAGCCGCTGCGCATGCCGAGCGGGGGCCCAACTTCGGGGGCTCTTTTCTTAGCGGCCCCCTCCGCCGTTGCATCCAGTGGCGCTTCCGCGCAATTCCGCCGCCGCTGATTTATAGGTTTGCACTGTGCCTCTCGGGTGGCGGGCGGTTGCGATCGTTCAGGACGAATGCCCGCGGCGCCCACGCGAGGGCCCCATTTTGAAAACCCGCCATCATCCATGCGTGTAATTGCTGCACGCTTGTATGACGAATGCCCGCGGTGCCAGGGCGAGAGCCCCATTTTGAAAATCACCTGACCTCCAGCCATCCAGACATCCAGACATCATGCGTGCAACTACTGCAAACGTTTAAGGCGAATGTCCGCCGCGCCAGTGCCAGAGACTCATTCTGAAAGCCAGCCGCCCCTCATCCGACGAGCCGTTGCAATGGTTCAGACCTCGAAGCGTCGCCCCCCCCTCCTTCCCCCCCCTCCCTCCTCCATGGACCACCGCGGCTCGAGCCTTTCAAGTGCGACATAGGGGTGTCTCCATGCTCCATGCTCGGACCCCCATCGCCCACCAGGCCACCGCGGGCGGCGATGCCCCCCAAGGCCAGAGCGAGCGCGACGGCGAGAACGGCCAAGCCCATTACCAAGCAGGACGAGCAACGCAAAAAGACCAACAAGCAGGCCAAGCAGACAGGACCCCAAGAAGGTCAACAGGAACCGGCGCGTCCTGCTGTCGGAGACCCGCAAGACCGCCCGCACCAGGGGCAGCACCACCCAGAGGTTCGCGAAGCTTATGGATCGGGCGGCAGAGCAGCTCAGGCGCTAGAAAGAAAGGGAGCGCTACGAGGCGTGGGAGCAGGAGGTCTGGAGCGCTACGACGCGTGGAAGGCGAGCGACGACGGTGACCTGCACGGGAGCAGTGCGGAGTGGCAGGCGGCCCGCGCCGCGGCCGCGGCAGCGGGCCCTATGGCCGGGGGGCCGGGCAGCCCCTGGCAGTGCGAGAGCGGTAGCAGCCAGCCAGGCAGCGGTAGCATCAAGCCACGCAGCGACAGCATCGCCACGGAGGACGAGAGCCCCAACGACCCGACGAAGACCGCGAAGACGAGGGCCACGCAGGCGGGCGGCCCCCTCGCCGACTTCCGCCCGCAGTCGGAGATCTCCCAGCTCCTCGACGCGGGCGACGACGAGATCTTCAGCGAGCTCAAGTGAGCCTGCCTCGGGCGCCTCTCAGCTCAGCGGCCATTCCGCTGTTTGATTGCGCCTCTCAGCTTAGCGGTCATCCCGCTGCTTGGCTACGCTGCCGATCTGAGTGCCCTCCACGTTCGAGCGAGGCGACTTCGGCCCGCGTTTTTTCCGAGAGAACAGCAGCGGTGTTCCCGCCGAGTTGTCGGTCCTCGGTCCCTCGGTTCGGTCGTGGCCCCTCCGCCGCGTGCCCCTTGGTCCTCGCTCGTTCGTCGGTCGGGCCCTCGTCGGCCCTCGTGGGGCCTTCGTTTTTGCGCGCTGTAAGCCAGACTGGCGGCGGCGGCGGCGATGGCGGCGACGGCGGCGGCGACGACGACGAAGACTACGACGACGACGACGACGACGACGACGACGACGACGACGACGCCTCCGCACATTTGACGACGCTCGAGACCCCTCACCCACGTTGAGACTCGTTCACACCCAGACCCGCTCACACTCGGACCATTTGGGTGGATGGAGGGCGTTTCTTGTTCGAACCGAGTTCTCGCTTGAGACATCCTCAGGCCTTAGTAGATGGAGGGCGTCTCTTGTTTGAATCGGGCTCCCGTTTAAGGCACCTTCAGACCTTAGAAGATGGAGGGCGCATCTTGTTCGGGGGGCAGCCGAGGGAAGCAGCAGCAGTACTTGAACTTCATCGAGTTCTTCACTGAGGACAACTGGCACAAGATGCTCGATCCCGATGCGCCCTCGGAAGCTGCGAAGAGGATCATCGTCAACCGTCTCATCAGGCTCAGCGGTGCGAGCGCCTGCGAGTACACGGCCAAGTTGGGCAATTCGCCCTGGATGTTGCCGGCGGGGAAGGACGTCGAGAAGTTCACCTACTTCAAGAAGAAGTCCTCATGCGCGCAGTTCAAGGGCGAGCACCGCAGGGTGGCGGACAAGTCGCTGAAACCCATGGGGCGCATCATGGAGCTACCCAGCTTGCCTGAGCAGATGGCGGCGCCCCACCGAGCCATGCACTCGAAGGCCTTCGCGCCGCGGCCAGGGGGCGGGCCCAGGCGCTGCCCGCATGATACCGCGAAGCTGCGTGGCTTGGACGACTCGTACAAGCGCGGGGGAGCGGCGCCCCCCGCGGAGGGCGCGCCGCCGCGCCAGCTCGCCCGGTGCGCGCCGCAGGGTGGCAACCAGGACATCTACCGCCATGCCATGGGCCAGCAGGGCAGGCAGCGGGGGGCCATGCAGGGCATAATGCTGCAGTTCATGGGCGGCGGTGCCCAGCGGACGCGCGGTAGCGACGACGTGCTCGATGACCTCGAGCTGCTGAGCCCCAAGCGCGGGGGCGGTCGGCCAAGCTCGCACCGCGCGGTGGTCGAGCTGCCAGCAGAGGGGGGCGAGCAGGCCGCCATCGCGGGAGGCCAGCGTGCGGGCGCGCCACCTCCAGTGGAGGGCGCGCCGCCTGCGGCCCACCAGCCGCCCGCGGCGGACAGCCGTGACGGGGGCGAGGCAGTGCTGTTTGTCCTTGGCGCGCCGCCGCAGGACCGGGCAGGGCCGCCCGACGCCCCGGGCAAGAAGAAGAAGCAGGAAAAGAAGAGGAGGTTGAAGGGCCTCGCGCAGGAGCGCATGGACATGATGGAGCACAGGAGGCGCGAGAAGAACGTCGGCCGCGGGCGCGGCTGCGGGCGCGGTGGCGGGGATGCAGGCGGCGAGGAGGAGGCGCAGCATATCGCCGACGGGGGGGTGGAGCGGGCGCCGCCGCGGCGCCCATGAAGAGGAAGAAGAAGAAGGGCGAGGGCCGAGCGCATCGGCCCGCCCAATCGCCCGCGGGGGGCGAGGGGGTCGCGGGCGCGCCCGGCAGGAAGCCGAAGGCCCCGAAGGTAAAGTCCACCGAGAAGAACCCCAAGACGACGGTGGCGTCTGGGGGCAAGGGCGCGGTGCCGCCTCTGGCCAACGGCGCGGACTTCAAGAATTTCAAGTGCAAGAAGATCAACTGGGGCGCCTTGGTGACCATCGCGAAGGCATGCGCAGAGAAGACGACTCGGGCGCGCTTCACCAGCAAGGCCTACGACATTACCAAGAGGAGGGCTACGCTGGCAGCAGTGCCCAAGGAGACGATCACCACCGTCGGCAGGCAGGCCTACAAGGACGCCGCCGCGGCCTGGGACGCAGTGAAGTGAGGCGCCGCAGTTCAGCCCGCGCCGCGGGCGCGCGAACGCCCCTGGGATCGGAGAGGGGCGGGGGGGGGAGGTGGGGCAGGGGCCGCTGCGGCGGCCCTTCGGTTCATCAGGAGGTCGCAGGGGATGGGGGGGGGGCGCGGGGCTATCGCACCGCATAGCGTCGCATAGCATAGCGTGGCCGATGATAGCAGAGCATAGCCTAGTTGCTAGCATGTCATAACGCTGCCGATCATTCCATATCACGGCCTTGCAGCTTGAATGGCGTCGGGCGGCATAGCATGGCAAAGCATTTCATATGGCCGCGCCCGCAGCGATGCATGGGATGGAATGTGCGTCTGCAGCGCCGTGCGTAGCCGAGGCCGCGCGTCGCTCAGCTGTGCGAGCGCGGGGGGGCGCGCCCCGTGGCAGAAATCCCCCCCCCTCCACCGCGCCGCCGCGCCCCGCCCGCCCTTCCTCGCGAGCGGCGCCATCGCTGTGGTCTGCCCTAGGCTCGGGCTCCCCCTCGTCTTCCCCCCTGCCCGCCTCCCCCCCCTTCCCGTCAGATGACTTGCCAGTGCTCCTCGCCCTCCGGCCACCCTTTCCTCGCCCCCCCGCGCCCCCGACGCGAGGCCCCAGAGCCCTCGCCATTCTCCCGTGGGTCTCCCGTGTATCCTGAGTCTCTGGGCCTCTTCGAGGACTGAGCCTAGCGGAGGATTGAGGAGGTTCCCAGTCGCACCCAGTCTGCAGGCGAGGAGGGCCCCCCGAAGGCCATGCAGCCCCCAACCTCGAGCCTCCAGGCTCGAGGTTCGAGCCTCGACGTGGGCCCGTCGGGTCCCCGGCGCGTCCTCCTCCGCAGTTCCAGAGCGTTATCAAGGTGTGATCGCGATGTTGTCAGAGTGTTATCATGATGTTATCATATGTTATCAGGATGGCATCTTGATATCACCATGACGTGTTATCATGACCTTGAAAACACACATGATCACATGTTATCCCCGGATGCCCGATAACGCTCCCGCTCGGTACATCGCGTTATGAGGCCGCTATCATGATAACAGGATAACGCCTCCTAGCATGAGACCATTGTCATGATAACATTTTCTCATGATCATGATAACAGGTTATCAGAAACCGGATAACCTTGCAACATGATCCTGATAACGACCCGCACGCGGCCCGATAACAACCGGATGAAGACCCGCTTAACGTTCACACACCCCTTAGTGACGCAATCGCCCATCGCCCTCGTATTCATTTTGGTTCAAGCGATAATCGCTCAGCGGCCCACCCGCTATCGTTTCGTGCTCCGCCCGCCATCGCCGGAGCGCACCAACCTACGAGACCTGCAATGCCGCGCGGCCGCGTGGGCGACGACGCCAGCGACGCGGTCAGCACCGTGAGCGCGGATGCTCTCCGTCTGGGCGGCTTCGGCACGATCGTCGACGGCGCGCCGTCCGACCCCGAGCCAGATGACCAGCTGGCGGCGCAGCCAGAGGACCAGCCAGAGGACCAGGCAGAGGATCAGCCAGAGGGCCAGCCAGCGGACCAGCTGACGGGCGCCAATCCCCATGACTCGGACCCGACGACCGTCGGCGACGGCGAGGCGGCACCGAGGGCCGCGGACACTACCAACGAGACCGCCTGCCCGATCTGTTTGCAGGATCTGGCCGATGACCCCAACGAGGATGACGGTGTGCCCGCAGACGGGCTACCCACGCCCATGACGATCCTTCCGTGCATGCACCGGTTCCACAATGTCTGCGTCGACAGGGTGCTAGAGCTGGGCAGGACCGGAATCAACTACGCGAGGTGCCCGAAGTGCAAGATGACGCCGCAGATGCTCGCCGTTCGCCTGGAGGCCTTGCTGAACCCGCCGGTCAATATGCCACCACCTCCGACCGGCATGCCTGCAGGCACCGTGGCCGCGCTCGACTCGCCGATCGGCAGGGCTCTCGGAGCCGCGCGGGCAGCGCCTTTCAGTGGCGCGACCTCAGCCACGCCATCGGCGCCGACGACCCCGGCCACGATCGCCCCCGAGACGTCGCCTGCAACGCCACCCAGCCCGATGCGCCAGCCAGCTACGCCAAGCTTTTTCGTTAGCCAGCCTGCTACGCCGACCGAGGTGCCAAGCTCGAAGGCAACGGCGCCCCCAGGGCGAGCGCTGACCGCGCAGCAGACGTCCTCGGCGCCCCCGTCGGCGGCCGCGTTGGCGGCAGCGCCGCCGCTGGCTGCCCCGCCCGCGGCGGCGCCGCCAGCGCCGTCAACGGCCAGCAGCGCCGCCGCCGCCGCGGAGCCGCCGCCGCCGAAGGCCGCGAGGAGTCGCCTTCGGCGGCCGGGACGTCTCGCGCCCACGGACGCAGATGGCGCGCCCGAGCCGCAGGCCGAGCCGCCCGCCGCTGACGACGCGGCCTTGCCTCCACCGCCAGCCCCAGTGGCCTCTCGGCCAGTCAAGTACGCGCTGCGGGCGGTGCCGGAGCCGTCTCAGGCAGGTCCTCGTCGTCGTCGTCGTCGTCGTCGTCGTCCTCGCCCTCGTCGTCGCCGTCGTCGCCGTCGCCGTCGTCGTCGGTCGTCGCAGACACCCGCGACCCTGAGGACGAGGGCGACTTTCATGCAGGACTTCCGCATTAAGTGCGGCGGCTGTGGGCCGGATGTCGTGATCGCCGATGTGCGGCTCCGCTCCAAGGGGCAGAACAAGTGCCGCTGCGGCAGGCGCCGCGCTCGCATCACTTAGCTGTCGCGGGCGTTCGGGGGCTGGCCGTTGAGGCGTTCCAGGCCTTGGGCGACGAGGCGAAGGTCCAGTTCTACAAGTCCATTCGCGACGACACGAGCGCCAAGGACATCGAGGAGAGTGCGTCCAGTACCTCAGGGGGGCATGAGAACCACGAGGACTGGCGCGCCGAGGGGGGGGGAGTTCCTTCTCCTCAGCGCCTGGGCGACCAGCGGCCACAACGCCGAGGACATCGAGGACAAGAGCTACCCTTGGGACGTTCGCGAGCACCGCGTGTTGGGGAGTACCTACAGGGTGCCCATCTACTCCGCGGGCACCAGGGGCGCCAAGGGCAAGGCCAGGGAGGAGGAGAACTCGGGCGCGGGCCCGTCTCGCAAGAGAAAGGCGACTGAGGACGGCGATGAGGATAGCCAGGATGGCACTAATTCGCCCAGCAGCTCGTCCTCGAGCAAGTCTGACAAGAAGAAAAAAAACAAGCGCGCCAAGAAGGACAAGAAGAAGGCCAAGCAGGAGAGGCGCAACGAGGAGAAGGAGAAGGAGAAGGATAAGGATCAGCAGAGGAAGGCGGAGGAGGCCGCGACGTAGAAGTTTCACGTAACGAGCGCCAAGTTCGCCGAGGCGGTGGGTGACAAGGTCGACGACGCGAAGCGCAGCCTGACCGCCTTGTGCGATGATGGGATGTTCGATGAGCTGCCAGGTATCGCCAAGAGGTCCATGAAGGCAGCGAAGACGCAGGTGACCGAGATCGCGAGTGATTGCAAGAAGGTGCGCGACGGCGAGCTTGGCCACTCGATCCGCCACGCGAAGGACGTGAAGGAGCGCAAGTTCCTCTTGGCTGACCTCAAGAGGAAGGTCGAAAACACGAAGCAGATGGTGAGCCACGCGCGCAGGTTGGGTTGAGTGGTCTGCGCACTGCATGATGCCTCGCGCATCCTAGGGGCCCGCGCTTTGGCGGCGTTCGCAGGAGGTGTCGCGAGCGCTCGTCGATCGACAGCGCGGGGCGCGCAGCTGGACAGTGCGCGTTCCGGGGCACGTGCATGCCCAGCGGGGAGGAAAACAACAAGCACGTCGGATCCCCCCCTTGAGCGGTTACTTAGGTCACCCCAAGGGCGCGAAGATCATCGCCCTTCACGCGTCGCGGCCTGGGCTGGAGAGGCGCCCTTCTCCAGGGAGCGACGCGAGGGCGCGAAGATAGCCGCGCGTCGCGCATCGCGGGGCGCGATGGCTCCGAGCGGTCACCCGCTGGATAGCTCCGATAGCTCACCCGAGCGGCCCGAGCGGTCGCCCGAGGTGGCCGGGGGTCACCCGCTGGATAGCTCAAAGCGGTCACCCGCTGGATAGCTTCGAGAGGCCACGCGCTGGATAGGACCCACGAGCAAATTGGGGGAGGGGGCGATAGGAGAAATGGGTCGACGACGACGACGACTACGACGACGACGACAGTGACGACGACGACGACGACGACGAGCTGATTTCGTCGAGCCGTCATCCCCGCCATCATGCATTAGCCTTTTTGACCCCTTTCAGTGCGCGCGGCAAATGGAGGGGCCCCGATTTGAGAAGCGACGGCGCGTCCAATCATTGTTGCACGTTGGCTCTGCCACAGTGGACGGCATGGCGAAGATTCTCGGGAAGCTAGAGCACAGGGTTGCCAGTGGGGGCACCCTGCTTGCAGCCAACAGCATAGTCTTCGACAAAGTGTCTCGGACGTTCGAGCTGGAGCTGGAGAGCGGCGGCACGCTTGCGCGGGGGATAACGCACCCACTGTTGTTGCTGCAAGAAATGATTGGCGGCTCCGCCGAGCTGCAGGACCTGTTTGCGAGCGCTGCAGAGCGCTCGCATTGCGGGCCCGGCAACCCATGGAGGATGGTAATCGGCCTGGACGGGTTGACAACTGGCGACAAGAAGATGCCGAAGAACAGACGGAAAACAATGGCACTGTTAATCAACTTCCTCGGGCTCGGCACCTCGGCGCTGTGCCATATTAGACTTGGCTGACTGTTGCGCTGTGCCTGAACCATTTGCTGCGCGACGTGGTCGGGGGGTGGCCCAGGCGTTTTGCGATCATATTGCGGCTGCTTCTGCTCGATGATATTTTTTTTTCTTTTTTTTTTGAAAGCTGGCTGCCCGCTGGAGCTACGCGGGCGAACGTTCATGCTCCTCGCCAACGTCGCTGTGATTTTGACCGACCGTGGCGGTCTCAGGTTGACGTTTGACCAGGGCGGAGCTACGTCGCATCGGCCGTGCTTGCGATGTTCGAATGTATGGAAGAAACATCTCCCACTGCTCAGGG